TGTAACTCATTGGGCTTTATCTGGTAAATGAAAACATTTGTTTAGTTTTTAAAACTAGTTTTAAATTATATCAGGAAGCATAGGTAAGGAGAAATCGCACTTTCAGCATTTGTTTGGCAATCCATTTGAGGCATCTTAAACAAATGCAATATCCCATGGATCGCATTCCCTTTCACCAGGGCATAATTTCTCACCAAAACATTTCTGGGTCACTGGTACCTTTTGACTAGTAACCACTGCCATAGCAAGAGGGTTTAATGGATGTGGTATGCCGGATGCAAAAATATTACCCAGGTAACCCCGGCTGAAGTTAAAACACTGTTAACAACCCAACAATCTTCTCAAAATTAATAACTTGGTGTGCTTTTGATTTAAAGCTTTCGTGACTGCAGCGATTCATATTCTTGGTTCTTTCGGTAAAGTCACGTAGAAGGGAAACAATAAAATAATATTATTTTATTGTTTCCATTGGTGTGCTTTGTTATTCTACTGCTGCATGAATGCCTCTTCGAGCTGTGTTGTCAGTCATTGGAGTTTTTTGTTACAATACCTCGGCACACTGCTCAGTGGCGGTTAGTCAAGGCTCTCGGCGAAGGTGGTCGAGGAGCGGTTGAGATGACGCGATGTCGCCCCGCCCCCGCTCGCCTTGCGTGTTAGGGCGAGTGCGGCTCGTGCTGGGCGTTCAGCACGACCGGCGCTCTCGAGGGGCAGCACATGAGGAAGGTGGGCCAGCTGGTGTCGCTGAGCGAGCAGAACCTGGTGGACTGCTCGCGGGCCGAGGGCAACCAGGGCTGCGGTGGCGGCCTCATGGACCAGGCCTTCCAATACGTCAAGGACAACGGAGGCATTGACTCGGAGGCGGCCTACCCGTACACTGGCACGGTGAGCACTAGAGTCCTCGCGATTTGTGTCCCCCCCCCCCCCCCCCCCCCCCCCACCATTGCGATTCAATTACAAACATGAGAAATTTAATTGTAGAATCCATGCATTGATACACATCCTTGTAATTCTGGGCTGTGTTTTGTAATCGTGTGTATTGGGTGTTCATTGTTTGACACGTAAAGTCACTTGAAGAGGCCTGGTGTTTGCGTAATAATGCAAGGCAATATTTGACTGCAGTTTAAAAGTGTTTATTGTTCTGTTTTTGTATTTCAGGATGGAGATAAGTGCCACTACGATCCCAAGTTCAACTCTGCGAATGACACTGGATTCGTAGACGTCACCAGTGGCGATGAGAAAGCGTTGAAGATCGCCGTGGCGTCTGTCGGCCCAGTGTCCGTCGCCATTGATGCGAGCCACGAGTCCTTCCAGTTCTATCAGTCGGGTGAGCGCTCTTATCTGGAGTCTTCCGCGGGTTTTTATGTTCCTGTGTATTTGGATTTTAAAAATGAAATGTACTTTAAGATGATTGCACAACTGCGCAGGATTCGGTGAAGGGTATAACCCCCCCCCTCATCCCTCTTGATAAATGTTTTTTTACATGTCTTGAATTTTTAATGAGAAGTTAATGAAGCAGAAAAAGTAATAATTAAACAATTTCCTGCCTTAAGTAAATTTGCTGCTTAATATGACGCCCCCCCCCCCACATCAAACTTTTTCTTTCATGGGGGTTTGACCATACTTCACCATCCTGGCCAGGTGAGGGTTGGTGCGGGGGGGGGGCAGGACTGTTTCCGATATTACAAGTGACGTTAGCTGTGGTCAAAAATATAATTTTGGTCACCACCGGGTTCGTAGCGCAGTTGCGCGAATCGCTGTACCCATCGCTACCCACACAGCAGTTGTAGTTATTGTTATTTCAAATTGTCCGTTATGCTTCGCTTATGGATGGTGTTGTTCTTGTGTGACCTTCGGGCGAGTCAGCGGTTTGTTGTCTTTGCGACACGAGGCAGGCGTAGTCCAAAGTTCAAAACATGTTGTGAGATTGATTTGAGTAGTGCATTGTTTTCAGAGTACTTCGACATTTGATAGCCAATTATCTTTGTTCCTTGGATTTAAGATCCATTTTTATAATAAGTTCAAGCTTGTAAAGAGTTGCAAAACATGAAATGTGTATCGTGTCTCTGATATTAAAAAAATAACATTTTTAAGTTTATATCTTTCGTGTGAACTGGTGAGAGTGTTTTGGTTGGATTGGTGCCAAGTTTGCCACGTGCCAGCGGGTAGTTTAACATCGCTTTGCTGAGCATTGCTGAAAGGGGCCATCGAGGGGAAATCCCTTCTCGACGGGAGGAAGTTGCGGACTTTATTCGACGTGTATTCCGTTTCCTTTATAAAGAAGTGTCTTTTTAGTGCGCTTTCCGTGCAAGTCGTTCACGATAAAAAATCTAATTATTTACATAATATCGCATCTTCACTGCTGCATGAAGACCTCCCCCCACTGTCTTGTCGGTCGTGGAATTTTTTTTTTACCATTCTTCACCCTCTCCATTGCGGGTTGGTGAAATTGAGGTGGGAGGAGGGGAGATTATACAAGGCCAGTTGAGATACCACTCACCACTCGCGTTAGCCATGGCTGGGAAGGTCTGATCGTGTGGTTCATAGCGCAATAGCACTAACCACTACCCTGGCACTCTGCAGTGGAAATGATTGCCTTGTTATAAATACATTTGCTTACTGTGCGGGATGCTTAGACGTCACATGATCGTGGTGTTTGTGCAAACTGCTTGTGCTGTTCTTCATAAAGCCGTGCATGCATGTTTTTATAGTTTAATAATTTTTTACTCCTGCGGGGTAGAGTTTTACTGGTTTTTTTATTGCTTTTTAATGTTTTTTTTATATATACATATCTCTCCTAGGTGTGTACTTCGAGCCTGACTGCAGCAGCCAAGACCTGGACCATGGCGTGCTCGTGGTGGGCTATGGTGTGAAGGGGACTGGTGAAAACGGGAAGAAATACTGGATTGTGAAAAACAGGTACGCCCCATTGTTATAGTTCGTGTATCAGACTACGTACGCGTTTAACCACACCTATTGTCACGGCATTTGTATTGTTTTAATGTATCTGTCAATAAGTAGCTAATTTAATTGGCTTAATTGGTCAATAATTAGGCATGTAATTGATTCGTGCCACACCGATCTCCCACATCGATTCCATTAATTGTCTTATTTTTGTGGTCACAAAGAATGACTTTTTTCTTCTTCATATTTAAAAGTATTCTCATTGTGTTTGTCTAATTTGAAGTTGTATTCACTAATTACCATAGGCGTAACATCATACCAGTTGCATATAATTTCCGAGAATTGCACGTAATTGGATATGCACATAAAATTTGTTGCTGCGTGTATCCTGAGTGCAATAATAATAATATTCCTGTGAACTAATGCATCCTTTAACATGTGCCTAATAAATGACCATCGAGTTTTGATGCCATGGAAAAATACCTTCCTAGTGCTAACCAGAAGTGCGTGTTTTGTATTTTTAAATTGTTTACCCATGTGAATGTATGCATATTGAACGTTTTTCACACAGGAAGTCGCCAACCGTGCTAATTTGGACATTAAACCCAAGTACAAAAAGCAATTCTAAAGAAATTCGTTTTCATCCCTAGATGTAAAGTGCATAGCTCCAGTAGCTTCCTAATATCGGAAGGAAGGGCGTTCCAGACTGCCGCAGAAGTGCATGTGAAAGTGCGCGATGCAGTGAGAGTCTTTGTTCGATGGCAATCCAAAACCTGGCGCTGCTGCGAGGATGACTGCTGCTCACGTGATGGTTTTATGCTCCTTGAGATCCGTGACATTTTGTGTAATGAGAGCGAGCTGCGTTCAGCAACTGGAAGCCAGTGCAGCTTGGCGAGCACTGGGCTCGCATGGTTTTGGATCTTGGCAGTGAAGCGATATTGCCATAAACCATGTTTAGTTAACACAACTGTCGTGTCTTCCCTGGTGTGTGCGCGCGTGTCTTCCCTCGTGTGTGTGTGTGTCTTCCCTCGTGTGTGTGTGTCTTCCCTCGTGTGTGTGTCTTCCCTGGTGTGTGCGCGCGTGTCTTCCCTCGTGTGTGTGTGTGTGCGCGTGTCTTCCCTCGTGTGTGCGTGTCTTCCCTGGTGTGTGCGCGCGCGTGTCTTCCCTCGTGTGTGCGTGTCTTCTCTCGTGTGTGTGTGTGTCTTCCCGTGTGTGTGTGTGTCTTCCCTCGTGTGTGTGTGTCTTCCCTGGTGTGTGCGTGTCTTCCCGTGTGTGTGCGCGCATGTCTTCCCGTGTGTGTGTGTGTGTGCGCGCATGTCTTCCCGTGTGTGTGTGTGCGCGTGTCTTCCCTCGTGTGTGTACTCTGCAGCTGGAGCCCCAAGTGGGGCGACGAGGGCTACGTGCTGATGGCGCGCAACAAGAAGAACCACTGCGGGATCGCCACAGCGGCCAGCTACCCCTTGGTTTAATGAAGCAACATCACCGCCCACTTTGGGCTCGTTTGCTTTATATTTATCCCAACTAAATAAACTTATTTTTTAGTTGCAATTTTACAATCTTTTTTTGTTTTGGTTAGGAAATATAGATCAAGTTCGTTTTAATAGTCGTGTTCAACTTTTACATTTGATTGTACATAATGTGATCTTAGTTTGACAATGGTTAACAAATTGTTATTAAACGTGAAATGTGATTTTTATTTGGCATTTCAAAGGAAATTGTATTTTTTGGGGGGCGTACATCTGTGCAATACCCGAGTGTACACTAACCTCAAACTCAATAAAGTATTGACAAAAATTTTTGGAGAGCTCTTATGCTGATTGATGTATCTGTTTTCATCCGTAACATGAATTCCACAAACATAACCCAATGTTACTGGAGGGTGGTTTATTTATTAGGAGACCTGATTTTTTACATTTTGACAACTGTGAAAACTCAACCTTTGGCCTTTTTGTTGGTTCTGAAAGAGATGTTATAGTTAGAGATGAGCTCGTTTGGCGTTTTTGGTGCATTGTTCTGCGTTTGTTGACGTACAAGAGTTGTCATTCTCCAAGTTAAACTCCACAGTCTCGTCATGTAAAAAAATGACAACGTACAAGAAGCAGTTTGTAGATCTTGTAATTATATAGTTTTGTTTTAACAGTGAGTGGGGAAAGGGGTGCCGATTTGAGGAAAGTGTTGGGATCGGAGCCAGTAATGTCTGTTAATCTTTACACCCCACTTGAATCCATGCACAGTTTCTCACGGCAGTGTTCGTACGCTTGGCACAATACCTGTATCTGTGAGACGATAAACCTCGTGGTATGTGGGAGCACTGGCAGCGCTAGCAATTGGTTGTCTGTATTGTATGCATCACGGTGGAGCTGTGTGATGGTACAAGCAACCCAGAGGGCCACTTCAATCTTAAAACACATGAAATTGGAACATTTAATTTGGTGATGCTGCTTTGGCAGGGGTGCACATTTTATAACTCTACATTCGTCCATAAAAGTGGCCGAAAAATAAAATACTGTACATAATAGGTGCAGTTTCTAGCAATAGCCCTTCACAGCCACCAAGAGGCCAGACAGTGGATAATAAGGGATTGGAGACTGCACTTTACACCATGAGGCCTGACGAGGATTAAACTTTCAAAAATGTATTTCTGATTACTAGTTTTTAAATTGGCATATGAATAGTTACACTTGCAGCTATTGGGTAACATGCAAACCCTTGCACAATAAAAACGTTTCTAAATACACTTTTAAAATTACAATTATGTTGGTGACCTTGTTCCAATTAAAATAAAACTGGTAATTGGATAATATTGAAAAACAATCTTAACAGGTCCAATGGTAAGGACAGTCTCCAATCCACATTGTCCACTCTGCCTCTGCTGTGAAGGGCCATTGCCCGAAACGTTGCTCATTATATTTTTTATTTTAAGACCAGTGTCGTTAATGAACGTGAGTACTAACTGAAGAATGATTAAATCTCGAAGAATTATATGACGAGATAAAGATTAAAAACTAGCTAGAATAATTGTGCCATGCTTTAAGGTATATGTGATGCTTCTGATGAGGATCCTGATCCCAGAGGCATATTAATTACCACGGGGTGGGCCTAAAATGTTAAACGGTTAAATCGGGCCTTAGATTAATAAAAAAAACATTCAATGCATTTTCTCTAAAATAATATAAAATGTTTCAGGGTCTCAAGGAGGGTGAGGGCATATGCCTGATCCGCCACTGCCTGATCCTAGGTTTGTATTGGGGTAGCCACCCATATTCCAGGTTCTCAAGTGTACCGATTTTTTGCACACAGCGTTGGTGTACGGTGCTTTTTTCAGGAATATTTTGCTGTTTTTTTTCATGGATTTTCTGTTTGCACAGTCACACAGTCACTTTAAGATGTTTTCTTGTTCGTGTTTTTGTTTCAAGAGCCGAATGGCTCAGAGGGCTATACCAAAATAAATAAACTGAACTAAAAAAAACCGAGCTGGAGGTGTCGAGTCAGGTCTCCAATAACAGCACAGTGAAACTGGCTTTTTACTTGAATGTAACTAAGTTTCAGCTCTGAATACACGGATTGGTTTTACTGCTACGAAACTACACATTTCTCCACAGCAGGTTAGATAATTGCAATCGGCCCTCGTGTGGTTAAGAGGTCACTTGGGAATATCAAGAGAAGTTCTATATCTCCTCCTCTGCTAACAGTGGGGTGATGCATTGCTGCATGAGTGTGGAAATAAAAATGGTCACGTGGGGGGCTAACGGAATTTTCTCACGTCAACGACGAAAGAACGTTGCCGACTCATTTCCTCTTCACTGGCCGGTGGTGACTGAACAGTGCATGACTTGAGAGGGCGAAAACGTGGTTGGAGGAGGTGGTGGTTTTGGGGGAATGTTGCATTGTGACACGTGCAGTCACGCGTGTTTGTGAGCCATGCACATGTTTGCTTGTGGGTGAGCAGCGTGTTGGGAGTTGTGTCCAAAATTATGTCGGCATTTTTGAGAAGTTGACGAGAACGAAGTGTGGCCAGAATGTTTTGTCTTACTCCAGCAACGATTGTGTTATAAAAATCCTTGGTTCGGCAGTTTTAATCGAATGCTTTTGATCATCGTGTTTCGTGACTTTACGTTAATAGGCATGTGACGATTCACTTCCATTTCCAGCGATTCAATGGATTTTCACGATTTGGTGGGAAGGGGGGGGGGGTCACAGTTCAATTGAAGAATGATTTTTTTTATATCGTTTGCATTATTTCTGTGTTTTTTTCGTGGCTTAAGCGTAGTTTTTTCCTCCATTACTCTAAATGTAACCTCAGTGATGTAGCCTAGCAATAGTGCGTTTACCGCTTGTTTCAGAGGTCTTAAATTTGAGCTAAACTGAGTAATGCTGCAGGAGTATTAACAATAAAGAAATGCCTCCTTTACACTCGTCAACATTTCAGGCAATGCCACTTCGTCACGTGAAGAAGGGCCATTGCCTGAAACGTTACCTATTAATGCTTTTATTTCTCCCTTTTAAGGCGTCGTTGTTGACGAGCGTGTTCAGTTTTTGTTTATTAATTGTGGTTGTGCACAAGTGGACGCTGAAGATCCCAATTTTATTCAAAAGAGGAGGCCGTGCGCGCCCATGTCGCGGTCCAAAATTCGCCAAACATGAACAATCGCTCGCACCATTCTGCCCGTCCGTCACACGCGCGCGCGTGCGCGCGGAAGGTACAATCGTAATGGGTCTGTGCATCGTCACGTGCCTAATCGTTTAACCGACGGTCCCGTCGCCTATTTCTTTGCCACGTGCTTCTTCACGATCTCCAGGTACTCGTTGACGTCGTCCGGTGACCCCACGACAAAGGGCACGCGCTGGTGGATGGTCTCGGGCTGGACGTCCAAGATGCGCTGAGTGCCTGTGGTGGCGATGCCTCCCGCCTGCTCGATGACGAACGCCATCGGGTTGCACTCGTACAGGAGACGCAGCTACGCACACATCGCAAGGCGGAAAAAGGGCGCAGGGGAGGGTGGTGACGGGTCGGAACGGCAGTGCCACCGTGACCATATTTGGACATCTGTTAAAAAGAGCTTCATAGCTCATCGGATTCCTCCAGTATAAATAAAAATTCTGATTATGATATTGGGACATTTCTCAATGTCCACCACAAAGGCGCGGCTGAGGGCCATGGTGGCGAGATATGAACTACCTCGCCTGGTATGCAGGAGGTCATGGGTTCGATCCCGACCCTGACGCCTGCTGCTGTATATTTGGAGTTTGAATGTCTCTCCCTCTGGCCGTGTGGATTTTTCTCCGGATCCTCCAGTTTTCCCCTCCACATTTAGAAACACGCATTTAGAGTTTTAGGCTGCTAGAAATGTCCACATGATAAGCCACTTCGTTGAGCTATCATTCATGGCCGGGTCACTTCTGAAAAAGATATATATAGCTCAGTGGGCTTTACCTGGTAAAATGAAAATAAATCTTGAATGAAAGTTTTCGTGACTGCAGGAATTCATATTATTTGGGTCTTTCGGTAGAGTCACGTAGATAGGTTCAAAGAAAATAACAAAAAACTACGACGTTTTGTTATATTTTGTTATTTTCTTTGAACCTATCTACGTGACTTTACCGAAAGACCCAAAGAATAAAAATTTAAATAGTTTAGTTAAAGAATATTTGGTGGCACGACAGTTCGATTTGGTTACATGCTGCGGAAGTCTTCTTAAGATAATCACAGAGGTGGCTGTGTGGTTCTGGGGGGTAAGAGAGCTGAGGCTGCTCCGCTGAGTTATGCTGGGATTTGAATCCGAGTTTCAGCCACCGCCTGCGATTAAACCAGGCTCTTAAGTGCAGCGAGTTGGTGGCCTCAGCCCGGTCACCAAACGACTGCACACGCAACAACAAAAAAACCCCGCATCGGATGAGAAGATTTACTTTCACTCAGTCTGGCTAAATTCCATCTCTGAAGATTAAACAGCAGCGAATAGTTCTCAGCGGCAGGGAGTGTGAGAAAGTACACCCCCGGGGATGTGGAGAAGAGTTCAACCCGAGGAAACCCTTCTGCAGGCCGTTCTCGAGCACGTGGGGCGAAGCGCTGGTCCTGTGAGACTTCTGATTGGACACTTCGTCTCATCACATTTGGCAAATAGATACACAAAAGATTGGAAAGATGCAAATATATCATTGCGCGAAGTGGATGGGTGCGTACACGCTTATTAGAATTATTTATCTTCTTGGTGCAGTGTTTTGCCATTTATAGTACTGTGGAGGGTTAACTAGTCAAAAGTAACTCCACATATGTACTCGAAGTACACCTAGCCTGGCACAAATGACAAAGTGATATCCCCACCACTATGCAGCAAAGGGCAGCTGTTGCAAGTTTACACAGATGAATACTTTTGGTCCGTTTAATCACCAACATAAAAAAAAACATATGTATTGTAGACAAATACCTAAAAACTGAGTCGTGCTTAAAGCTGCGAATGAAAATAAAAGCATTTAAAAGCTATGGTCAGGAGTATACACGGGACGCCTCCGAGTCATCAATCTTGTACTTTTCAATTCGATGTCACTGCAGTGATGTCACTACAGTGCTCCTGACAACTAATGTTCTCACAGTTTAAGTGTACACATCTTCCTCTTTAACAAAACTTCAAACTCGCATTGTACAGCCCTGAAGAAAGTATACATTCTCGCGCAACGTTCATAACTTGGCGACTACCGTAACGAGCGTACGTGTAACGATTCATCGTGGCGAGGATTACTCAGGAATCTGTTCTCCATTACAGCTCCGCGTCCCACGGTCGGCCCGCATCTCGTGACAGCAGATGAATGTGCGTAATGCTTTGACTGCGCGCCAAGTAAACAGGCTCCCTTGTGTTGCCCCTGTGCGCCGCACCTTTCCCTTCGGGCTCTTGGTGTTTGCCGGGTACATGAAGATCCCGCCGTACTTGATGGTCCGGTGAACGTCGGCCACCATGGACCCCACGTAGCGTGCGCCGTAGGGGGCACTGCCGTCCTGAGAACGACAGCAGAGGCAAGGGGCTTCGTGAGGCGCACGTGGGTCCCCACACGATCCATCCATCACGCGGTGGTTTAACTCTCCATATACGTGGAGACACTTCAACTCGGGCAAAACGAAAGGCGTCTTGCCAGCGCTTTACGCCCGAACAAAACTCGCGAGAGACATTTCGTGTCGTGAACTGTCAACAAAGGAGCGTACCCGAATCAATACAGCGTAAAACGTATAAAATAAGTTATATAACCATTAAACATCATTTACCAACGTCAGTGAATAACATGGTAGAAGCAGATGTAGTGGGTTGTGGAACTCCCTACCTGTGGAGATCAGGTTCTCCACTCACACTCACATCTTTAGATCTCCACTCAAAAACCTTTCGTTTAAAAAACATGGTTTTATTTTCTTCGGAATCGTGTTGTTCCCTCTTTGGCTCTTATTCTGCCACCCAGCTCTCTCTCTCTTTAAAATCTTTTCTCATTTTTACTCACACAGCGCCTTTGGGGCTGTTTTTGTGAAAGACGCCTTAAAAGTGAAAATTATGATTAGGTGCACGGAAAGAGGTGGGGTTTAAATTGAACGTTTAAATGTACCTAAACTATTCGGTCATCGGATGTTGGCACGGAGGTCGGTTCCGTGGCTTTGGCGTCAAGACCGCCAAAGGAATTCGATAGAGTAGCAGTGGGAAAAAACATCTCCCCTACTGAGGGCCAAACAGGATATTCGAACGCCTTTGGCGACCACACAGCAGTTGACGCCGAACTTTTGATTGTGCTCGGACTGTATCCGTCGACTGCATGCTCGAACTACCTGAAGGATGAGAGTCGACTGAGCACGCTGAGAGTTAGAAACGCTGTTGCCAGGTCAAAAAATATCACCCCCCCTCCTCCTCTCCTATTGGATTAGCGCGGCTGAGATGATAAATGATCGTCTGCAAGGCCGTTTCGGAGTGGTCGGCGTTGTGTGACCTCAGGCCAAGTGGAATGAAGTGACAGGACGGGTATGGCTCATGAGCCATAGATTCTTCACCACTGGTGTCGGGCGAGAAGATCGTTGAGTGAGATCCATGACGTGAATTTACAGAATCCGTCTTGTTGCTACGTAGTAATGTATGTATATTGAACTTATTTCGCTCCATATGTAGCCAACCATGTTAATCGGAGGTGCGGGGGTAGGACAACAAACTAAACACAAAAAAGCACTTTTAATTAAATTAGTCTTTCAATATAGATTTGAAAGTGCATAGCTTCAGTGGCTTCCTAATATCGGAAGGAAGAGCGTTCCAGACGGCCGCAGAAGCGCATCTGAAAGCGCGCGATGCAGTGTGTTCGATGACTCGCCAAAATCCGGAGTCCGCATGATGGTTTATTCTCCTTGACGAGATCAGCAAGGTATTGTGGTTCATTTGTGACAAGCACTTTGTGTGTAATGAGTGCTACCTTACACTGTATTCGTTCAGCAACCGGAAGCCAATGCAGCTCAGCGAGCACAGGACGGACACGATAGTAGTGTTTGATACAAGTCAAACCAATATTTGTATTTCCTGAAAATAAAATTTAGTCAATAACAAATGCAGAACCAAATTTGATCTGATGGGGTTTTTTTTTTGTACAGTCAATGCTGACCGGGCCGAGACCATTGACTCACTACACTGGAGAACCCATTGTTATCACAAGCAGCTGCCTTGGATTTACACCAAGGATCTCAGCAGCGTTGCAAGCTCAGTTCTCTGACCTCAGAGCCACACAGCCATCTCGTGACGAGACACGCTCCTGCAGACAGACGGCTTATGTAACTTGTGTGAGCAATCGTTGCACGTGACCTCTCTCTCTGAGGCTTACACACAATCAGCAAACAGCAGAAAGCACGGGGCCTGGCAGTTTGTGCAGCCACTGCAGCCAGGGACGGGACGCTGTCTCGTTTATTCTTTAATGACAGCTGCTGAGCACAGGACCAAAGTCTCAAAAAGCCAGCTGCAAACAACAAACAGGGCTGTTGAATAAAACTAATACAATATTAATGTATCCAGGAAAGCCACACCGAGTCGTATGGCTCTTATTTAATTAGGGTCCTGAAATTGTATTTATTTGGAGACGTTTTTAGGCAATTAAACGACGAGCGTTTATGATACAGGTGGGAAGAAACCGCAGCACCCGGGGGGGGGGGGGAAAGCCACGCTACGCGTGGGGGCAACCCTCTATCCCCGTACAGATGGAAACGGATGGAGATTAAGTCCACTTGCCATCCTGACTACTCCTGGCGAGCCAGGGTATGGCAACGTCCTCGACGCCCACGGGAAGGGAGATTCACGAGCAAGCGACCGACCGTGCGATCTACGAACACCGTCGCCTGCGCAGTGCTCGATCGGCAGGCGTGCGCCACGAGGTCTAATAGATACAGAGCGAATATGCGTGTGTTGAATTGAGCAAGCTTATGAGAAAAAAAAGAGACGCGATGGGAGGGAATTCTGCAGTCCCAGCAGTGTGAGGGAAGAGGCGGAGGAATCGATGAGCGAAGTTTACTCAATGATTCCAGTACCCCCTCGGTCGTAACAAGGAGGCAACAAACGGACGGTCACACCTTTGGGCCAGAATTTTAAAAACGTGAATTCTGCGAAAATCTAACGTAGTAAGCTCTTGGTGCTAAAGGCCGTGCTCTTTTGTGTTTGTTTGTTTGTAGTCGCAGTTGTGGGGAGATAGCTGGCCGATATCAGCCAACAGTGGGTGGTGATGGGGGGGTCACAGGGTCCATGTGAATTTTCAAGCGAGTTGTGAAACATCTCGCTGGAGTGAAGAGGCAACACTTGCCAACAAGATTTCCTTAATTCCACTCCATGTAGACGTTCATCCACAAGAGAATGATGACAGTTTGTTATTTCCCAATAGGCTGCACGTTGGGGGTAGTGGTGGTGGCGGTGGTGCAGATATTAGTGCTATGCACGATAAAACATCACCCGAGTTCAATTCCCGACCACTGCTGTGGCACAGCTGACGTGAGTGGAGAGTGATAGCGGAACTGGTCCTGGACTCCTGCCTTCGCCCCACCTTTACGAACCCAAACTGACCAGTGTGGTGAGGTATATGACAATAGGTTTTACCCTTGCTGGCCATAAAACAGGGGGTGTTAAGATGTTAAAACACCAATCAGAATCCTTTTTCAAGGAATCCTGTCTGCATTAACCACACGTACTTGTGGTGAACATGCAAACAAACAAAAAACATGCTCTGATAATAGATGCATTGTCTTTGAAACTGATTGGGCCACACCAGAGACAACTTTCTTTTGAGCCGAGTTTATTTTGAGCCTTAGTCGAGATTAGGTTTTACCCTGTCTGCATTAACCACGAGTACGTGTGGTTAATGCAGACAGGATCCCTTGAAAAAGGATTCCGGTTGGTGTTTTAACATCTTAACACCCCCTGTTTTATGGCCAGCAAGGGTGAAAAACCTATTGTTATATTTTGATATTGGCAAGAAAGGTCCCATATTGTGGTGAGGTATGGTCTTACAACCAACACGGCCTCGGGAGGCCTTGCTCAAGCAGTGGATTAACGAAGGGTTGAAAGTTGTTGATTACAATTTGGTGTTGGGTTATCCGATACAGGGGATGCATTTAAAAACCTTGTCCGAGTTCAGGACCCGGAAAATATTTCCGTACCCGGCACACCGCATCCAGTATACTGTCCCGTCTTTTGTATGGCTGTGGTTACAAGTCACGCGGCTACTGCAGTCTGACAGTGACACTAAGCCCGGGTTGTTGATGCACAGTGCACGCATTTAGAAGTGGCTGCTGTGATCAAACCTGTCCGGTGGGTGGGCCACGTTCCGAGTGAAACCGCAGGCGTGTTCCATAACTCACCTCCGGGAATTTCTTCTTTTGAATGTACTCGGTCAACGCTGGGTCGAAGTACTTGGCGTAGCCCTCGTTGAGGCTGAAGATTTTGCCTTTCTTCTTGATCTTCACGTTTCTCTCCACCAAAATGAATTCTCCGATGGCCTAAATGTGGGCATAGTGGAGAAAGGAATCGGGAAAACAACACTGGCTATTTTATTTTCATTGTTCAAAGATGGTTTAACGACAAATTTACATATTGACGCGGTATAACCCAAAAAAAACCTGCATTATGGATTCATTGAAATCGATAACATACGTCGGTTACTATGTGTGTATTCTACAGCCTGGAATTCCGCCTATGGCCTGCATTATTGTCGTTGTCTGCTGGGCATCAACAGAGAAACCAATCGTGAGCCAGGTCCACACCTCCGATTAGCACAGTTGGCTACGTACGGCGTGAAAGAAGTTCAACATACATACTGCCCATAGACGAACAATATCCATAGACTCAGCACTGCCCATAGACGAACAATACCCAGAGACTCAGCACTGCCCATAGACTAACAATACCCATAGACTCAGCACTGCCGATAGACTAGCAATACCCACAGTCTCAGCACTGCCCATAGACTAACCATACCCATAATGTCAGCACTGCCCATAGACTAACAATACCCATAGACTCAGCACTGCCCATAGACTAACAATAGCCATAGCCTCAGCACTGCCCATAGACTAACAATACCCACAGTCTCTGCACTGCGCATAGACTAACAATACCCATAGTCTCAGCACTGCCGATATACTAACAATGCCCACAGTCTCAGCACTGCCCATAGACTAACAATACCCATAGTCTCAGCACTGCCCATAGACTAACAATACCCATAGCCTCAGCACTGCCCATAGACTAACAATACCCATAGTCTCAGCACTGCCGATAGACTAACAATACCCACAGTCTCAGCACTGCCGATAGACTAACAATACCCACAGTCTCAGCACTGCCCATAGACTAACAATACCCATAGACTCAGCACTGCCCATAGACTAACAATACCCACAGTCTCAGCACTGCCCATAGACTAACAATACCCATAGTCTCAGCACTGCCCATAGACTAACAATACCCATAGTCTCAGCATTGCCCATAGACTAACAATACCCATAGACTCAGCACTGCCCACAGACTAACAATACCCATAGTCTCAGCACTGCCCATAGACTAACAATACCCATAGTCTCAGCACTGCCCATAGACTAACAATACCCACAGTCTCAGCACTGCCGATAGACTAACAATACCCATAGACTCAGCACTGCCCACAGACTAACAATACCCATAGTCTCAGCACTGCCCATAGACTAACAATACCCATAGTCTCAGCACTGCCCATAGACTAACAATACCCATAGTCTCAGCACTGCCCACAGACTAACAATACCCATAGACTCAGCACTGCCCATAGACTAACAATACCCATAATGTCAGCACTGCCCATAGACTAACAATACCCATAGTCTCAGCACTGCCCATAGACTAACAATACCCATAATGTCAGCACTGCCCATAGACTAACAATACCCATAGACTCAGCACTGCCCATAGACTAACAATACCCACAGTCTCAGAACTGCCCATAGACTAACAATACCCATAGTCTCAGCACTGCCCACAGACTAACAATACCCATATTCTCAGCACTGCCGATAGACTAACAATAATCACAGTCTCAGTACTACCCATAGACTAACAATACCCACAGTCTCAGCACTGCCCATAGACTAACAATACCCATAGTCTCAGCACTGCCCACAGACTAACAATACACATAGACTCAGCACTGCCCATAGACTAACAATACGCACAGTCTCAGCACTGCCCATAGACTAACAATACCCACAGTCTCAGCACTGCCCATAGACTAACAATACCCACAGTCTCAGCACTGCCCATAGACTAACAATACCCACAGTCTCAGCACTGCCCATAGACTAACAATACCCACAGTCTCAGCACTGCCCATAGACTAACAATACCCATAGTCTCAGCACTGCCCACAGACTAACAATACACATAGACTCAGCACTGCCCATAGACTAACAATACGCACAGTCTCAGCACTGCCCATAGACTAACAATACCCACAGTCTCAGCACTGCCCATAGACTAACAATACCCACAGTCTCAGCACTGCCCATAGACTAACAATACCCACAGTCTCAGCACTGCCCATAGACTAACAATACCCACAGTCTCAGCACTGCCCATAGACTAACAATACCCACAGTCTCAGCACTGCCCATAGACTAACAATACCCATAGAGTCAGCACTGCCCATAGACTAACAATACCCACAGTCTCAGCACTGCCCATAGACTAACAATACCCACAGTCTCAGCACTGCCCATAGACTAACAATACCCACAGTCTCAGCACTGCCCATAGACTAACAATACCCACAGTCTCAGCACTGCCCATAGACTAACAATACCCATAGACTCAGCACTGCCCATAGACTAACAATACCCACAGTCTCAGCACTGCCCATAGACTAACAATACCCACAGTCTCAGCACTGCCCATAGACTAACAATACCCATAGACTCAGCACTGCCCATAGACTAACAATACCCACAGTCTCAGCACTGCCCATAGACTCAACACCGCACCTCCGATTAGCACGGTTGGCTACGTACGGCGGTGCGAAAGAAGCGCAACATACGTACCCTTGCAAATGAGACTATAGTGGTCTCTTTAAATCTCACCTGGTTAAATAAAATGACGTAAATTGCTACGATTTAAACAATTAATAAAAACGTGTATATACAAATTTGTGTTCACGATGTCCTTGTATCACGTGTAGGCCAACAACAACCCTACCCTGAATAATGGCAACTGCCCACCAGGTCAGGGGCAATGTATGTTTGTCTGTTATGAGTCAGCGTGACCTCCACACACACACACGAGTACGTCATTTGTGGTGGTGCGCAAGGGTACTGCGATGCCAGTGGAAAATACGCAAAACCACTGCACATGCTTGGAGTGTTAATTATACAGGAGCATAGCTATCAACCCATGCGGTTTACCGGTAGTCATGAACAGGGAAATTGAGTTTTCAGGTCCATACGGCATACGGCCGTTTCAATACGGGCAAACATTTTTGTTGTCTATTTGTTTGCGTTTCTCCCTTGTGATGGGACTTTGTAGGATGAACGTTGAGATTTATAAGGGGTACGGGGTGACCAATAAGGTTTGAATCGGTCTGTAATAAGGTAGGGCACTGAAAAGGGGATGACAGGTATACAAGAGATCAGTGAGCAAAGCTGATAGGTTCCCATGGGTGTTCCAGGCATCGTAACAACAGAGGACACAATACAATGTACAATACAAAGTATCGAGCATTTCAGGGCACTTTTACAAAAAATCCTAAAAAGCCATTGCCAAATCAATCGTACAACTATTACAAATAATCCATGCCTCGAGTTTCCTAGCTGGCTGCTGACTGGGCTCCTCTCTACCCCAACGATAACTCTTGTTGTTGTTAGTGGCTGCTGCGGGACCTTGCCACATACACTAGCTGGGTGAACTGGCTAAACGGGATTTTCCGTGTGACAAGTAAACATTAAGTTAAACCGAAACGTCGGAAGAAGTTCAGAAGACATTTAATAAAAATACGAACAATAATTGATAGCGACACCGAAGAGGTGGGACTAACGAATACAGGAGACTGACCACGGTTACATTTAAAATATCTCAAACATTTCAGTTTGTGCTTGTTAATATAATTCTTTCACCAGAATATTCCCTAAATCCTCGTGAATATAATATACAATTTACACCCTCACGTAACATTTTACCGTGCCATTTTATTACGTATTACACAAGAAAGCAGATGACGTTTCGTGCTTACGACAACAGGAGGAGTGTGAGAAGGGCATGGACATGGTTGTTGTAGAGTTCTGACCCCGTGCTCCTACTGGACGTCTGTGAAAAAGAGCTTTATAGCTCATCGGATTCCTCCAGTATGATATAAAAAAATGCATTCTGACAGCTGTCTCTCATTTTCATCTCATTGAAGAGCGACTATTGGTTCTCCACTCTTTGAGTAAAACAAAAATAAATGTAGCGAACTAAATTAATGCTCCACGGTGAGACCAAGGCCTCTCGTGACCCGTTTCTCCCAATGGGACCACACCAGGCGGCCGGCAACCAACATAACAAGAAGACACATTTTTTTCGAATTCGGTCAAAAAGCTAAATATTTCAAGAGCCGCAATGCAACGTGAATACGAGACGGTGGTCCTTGATTAAAAAATATATATAACATCACGAGGCAGCCCTTTAAAAAGCCGCACGCGGCTCCGGAGCCGCCGGTTGCCCACCCCCCGGCCAGACGGATCGAGCCACCCACCGCCCCCGACCACGCACCGGATCGAGCATGAAGAAGTTGAGTCCCTGGCCCGTGGTGAGGGCCACAAGGGTGGCGCTGCCGTACAGGGCGTACCCGGCCGCCACGATGTTGCGGCCGGGCTGCAAGGCGTCCTTCTCAGAGACGGCGACGCCCTCCTCCGACACCTGCACACGAAGGCACCAACAAAGAACCCCCCCGTATAGCCTTTGACAGACTGTTGGGGGCAAATGCTGTCTAGCGAGTAGCAGCACCTACGGAGGCCGGCACGGAAACACGAGAGGGTGGGTGGACAGCAACCAAGCCCGGCCGCCTTTGTCTCCCCAGTGGCAATGTATACTACACACCGCACGAGGTGCTCATTTGAGGCTGAGCCGACCTAGGGGAGGCCCAGGGCCAGTTCAGATAATCGCCACCACCGGTGTTGGTGGCCGTGAGCGGGAATCGAACTCGGGTCGCCGGTTTCGTGGTGCCGCGTAGCGCTGACCGCTGCACTGCTGCTCCCCAAAACGGGCACGAACACAACAGCAGCAGTGGCGGTGGTGGAAGCAACATCAGTGGCAGCAGCAGCAGCAGCTGTGAATTAAGGGCTCTCATCGGGGTTATATGGGAGTGTTTGTGTACAGGGAATTTCATACCAAATCAATCAAGAATATCCTTCAGCAAACCCCTATGACATTTCGTGCGACAGCTTTGTCGTTGGCATAGAAATATACCACACACATTGTAGGTCAATCCAACATTCCATTCCCGAGATATAGATATTTGAAGTTGGACCCAACAAGGACATTTGACGACCTGCCAGGTACTGGGTTGAAACTCCCTCATTGTGGCGGGGTATAAAAGTGAGGTTGGCGAGTCGAGTGACTTTCTTGGATGAGGACATAGGCATGTTTAGGAACGATTCCATGTACGTATGTATGGAGGGTTCTGCATATTTGCTGCTGTATATTTGGAGTTTTCGTATCTCTCTCCCCGTGGTCGCGTGGATTTTTCTCCAGGTCCTTCACTTTTCCCCTCCACATGTAGAAACGTGCGTTTAGAGTATTTGGCTGCGATAAATTTCCACGTGATGAGCCACTTTGCTGAACTATTAGTCGTGGCCAAGTCGCTTCTGAAAAAGAGCTATGTAGTTGTCGTAAAATAAAATCCAAAGTTGAAATAGCAATGAACGCTTGCAAAGTTGTCAAATTAAAATGTTGATGGCTTTGGGTCTATCTAAAACATTTTTTGGGTTATTTAGCGACTTTCCGCTTTAAGAAGCTGGTAACACTGCTCCACTTGATGACAATTGTTCACGTCTGCTGCGTGTGAACAGCGTTGGGGTCTTGGGTCTGCAAAGCAGGCCTCTTGTCAAACGTTGGCACGGCATTCATGGGCTTGTGTTTCAACGCGCCCAGATTGTTGTGTAACGCGTCCATTGACTGCTTTGAAAGAGAACAGCAAAGCCCCCACGACATTGAAAGTTGCTTCTGTTGCAACAAGAACAATTGTGAAATTGTCACGTTGAGTTTTTTGCACGTGTGACTAACCACTGTCCTCTAGTGGCCCACTGCAGGCCTGCATGCAACGTTCAGCACACTAAACATGAAAAAAAAATGGATTTTTAATAATATAATTGAGAGATATCCCCCAGGCCATGTTGACCATGGGGGTTGTTTGACCTGGTCAGAGCGGTTTTGGAGAAGAGGGTTACCCAGTATCAGCACGCACATCACTCGCCACTGATGTTATGATGATAATACATTCAATTGTCACGCGCTGCGCTCGCTCACGAAGAGATAAACCACAGACAAGCGGGGAAGGCAGTGAGTTGGCACAATCAACATTTACCCAGGCTCTGCGGTCCTTAGTATAGTAAGATGTTTTCAGCGCACCCGGAGGAAACCCACGCGTACGAGGAGGAAACGCTCTGTCTCATGTAAATGGAACGGATGGTGATTAGTCCACATTTTCCTGGGCATTTTGCCATTCACCAACCCTCGTTGCCTCCCCAGTGATGAATTACAGCCCTCAACCGCCAGGCGATTAGCTTTGGGCTCTTGGCCAGGGATTAAACTTTGGGCATTGGGTTCACGGCGCAGGGCATCGCCCATTACGCAACAGAACCACCCCAGTAAGCACTGTAAGGGAAGAGTGATGCACAGCTAGTCAAAGCAGAGAGGTCCTCTTGAAACTTTAAATTCACTGGGATTCGTCACTGATCCAGGGATGCCATCTACTGGATGCAGCTCAGCATGGCACGACACGATGATGGAGCCCTGGATCTGAGTGGCGATGATCGCCGTGGTGGTGGCGGTGCCTTTTAAATTAAACGTTCGATATGATGCATTTCCTGCCTTTTGACAGCGGTGTACAAACACAAATAACATCTCCGGCCTCCGATCTGTGTGCTGTGAAGAAAGCCCAATTGCCTAAAACGTCGCTTCTTTCATATGTATATTTATTTTTCGAAGGCAATGTTATTGACGAATGTGTCGAGTTGTTTTTGTTGTTGTTTAAATCGCCGTTGCGTGGTGTGCGAGGCACTAAAAGTGCCCGTTCAAGTCCACGACAAAGGCTCTCTCCGTCTGTCCCCGACGAGTTACACGAATTACGTTTAATTTTTGTAACAACAAAAAAACGTTACTTTAACGGAACAATTAAAGGAATGGGAATAGAAACCGGAATAAGAGTAAAACGGTGGATACTATATTTATCGCAGTGTTATTGACAAAGATCCCAACGTATTGAGTTCATGATGAATAATAATCCCATCTACATTATGAGACCTCCTTTGCCAGTAACAGATATAGGAATAGGTTTTACCCTTTTAAGAGACTAGGCTCTAAGAAAAGCTGTCTCGGGTGTGGACCAATCAAATTTAAGGACAGTGCATATTATTATCAGAGTTGTCTTTTTTGTTTGCATTTTGACTGCTTGTGTTGTGGTTATTGCAAACATGATGCCTTGAATAAAGGTGTCAGTTTTTGTGCCAGTTAAAAGGGTAAAACCTATTACTATAATAATCCCATCGTTCGCGGGTTTCTTCTCTGTCGGAATGGAGCCCTTAATTGGACATCTGTGACTGACTTACAGACGGGGAAATGGAGTTTCTCGCTGTTATTATCACGCTTATTTACCCAGCAAAGCCGCATCGAGTCTTGTGGCTCTTGCATTTTCAAGTTTTTCGCAGTAAGGGGCGATTGCTGTGTACAGGACAGTAACTGCTCGTTTTTCTTATTCTGTCCTATTGCTGATGATGCAGATGCAGAGCAGCAGCTACAATTTCACATTCACATGGTTATCAAGCCAGATAACCCGCGTCAGGAGCAACGGATTGTATCGCTGCGATGTCTCCTTCGTATTTGTGGATCGGGCATTGCGTCATTGTACGTTGTTGCATCGTCTGTTGGGGATTATCACAGTCGCACACTGGATCATTTATAATTTTCCATTTGCACATCAGGCATCCGAAACAGCCACGGTGTGTGCAGTGGATGGGGTTTAGGGTGGACGATGATCTTTGTGGAAGATCAAACCCAGGGATCTTCTGTGTTGGATCAGTCACGAGGTGTTTGTTCTTTAGTTCTTTTGACGCGGTAGATGCATTCCTGAAAGGTGCCGGGTTGAAGCGAAAACTGCGTTAAGCGAGGAATTACTCTTACTGAATCTCATGCACGCTATAAAATCAGCCTGCAGTCATCCTATAGGGGGACAAAGAACTGAGATGGGGGTACGCCGCTGCGTACTGTATCATTCCGCATCCTGCATCGAACCCGCTCAGCCACACAGCTCGAAAATGTAGTTCATCGTCAACCGCTCAGAAACTGCGTTGTAACGGTGCACCCGTTCCCCGTTATAACGGCTAAACGTCTTCCGCGTTGTGCCAAGTGTTCTTGAATGGAATAACCGCGTTAAAGCGAAAACGCGTTGTGTGTACGCACGTTATAAGGGAGGACGACTCGCTGCACTGGATAATCCCAATTCGTTCATTTGCGAGTTTTTCAAATTGGGTAACTTTGCCCAAAATGGCGTCTACTCTTGCGAATGACGTCACGGGATCTTTAAGGGGCGTTGCGAAGCAGACGGTGCGGAGTATTCTACGGTTAATGCACTCGCAGCGATAACCAGGCGGCCGCTGGATTCGAACCGTGAGGCCGCAGCAACAAGTTGCGAACGTGCCACCGCCGGGCCAAGTCACCGCCCTTTGCTGTGCAGTGGAAAATAAAATAAAAACCACAACTGGGTGGCATCATGAATCCAGTAGTGATACGATGACTTTTGGTTTCACAAACTCAAAAAAATAAACTTCGCTTCGTCGATAACTCACTAGAGTCTTGCAAATAAGACAGCCCGATGCAGTGGTAACCTCAGAAAATTAGGAGCAGCAATTTGAAAATTATTGAGGAGGGGGGAGGGGGGGGGGTTTCTCAACACTGTAAGCACTTGAGTCGCAAGTGGTCACACCTTCTTGTAGATGGCGAAAATGGTCCCGATGGACTCAAGGCAGTCGATGTTGGAGGAGCCATCAAGGGGGTCAAAGCAGACGACGTACTTGCCCTAGAGTTCACAGCAGACAGAGCCACCTGGAGTTACGCCCTGTCAATACCAGTTCACAAAATGGGACGTTAATGTGCATAACGGCAATACTGTGTCAGGATTTCCAAAACCCCGCACCTGTCAACCCACCCAGATTTGGTTTATACCTTTACAATGTTTACAAATGTATCTTTGGAAAAAAAAATATCAATGTAGTTCCACACCACACATGCCTGATGATTGCTAAACAACAGTCCATCATCATGCAGTCAGCACTGATTCAAATTAAAGCGCTGATCTCTCCGTCCCAAATAGCCCTAACCCAGCGAACCGAGTTCCATCCCCTGCTCACAACCAGTACGCATCAGTGGCGAATATTTGCAGCATTCCTGGGCCTCCCTGAGATCTGCTCAGCCTTAAATAATCTGTTGCTGTGTGTAAACATCCCCACTGTGGAGACAAAGGTGGCCGGGCGTGGTGTTGGCCACCCACCCTGGCATGTACCTTGCCCGCCTTAATATGTGCTCGCTCTCAGCACTTGCCCCAATCATCTGTTAAGGCTATATGGGGGATCGTTGTCTATGTAACATAACATGGAGCCAGGTCCGCTTAAAATAGAGATCTGTGTCCCACATGACCTAAAGAGGCAATTTAAATTAAGACGAAACGATACGCGTGTTCCAAGCCCCATGAGAGAGCAGTCTTAATTTGAATCCATGCTCACTGCGTGACATTTACAATTGTGTATAAATCATAAGGCTTGTGTTGCGTGCCACGATCCAAGAATCTGTTAATCCACAACGTTTGAACAAATTATCTCGTTATTGTTGACGTCTCGAACCAAAAGTGGCAAGACGACGAATTCTGGTGGCAGTGCCAATTACGGCGCCTGTTGCGAATGCCGACCGCGCGTGTCTGTGGCTTAGCTACCGAGGGGTTCTGTGTGGACGTGGGGGGCCTCGTTGTTGTGGTCGAACCGCGTCCTTACCTGTTTCTCGGGCTCCACGATGATGGCCTTCTCGTTCTCCTCGGAGACAAGCACGCACGTGGAGAAGGAGGCCTTGAGCATGTTGATGACCAGGTCGTTGGACAAAACGTCGAGTTTCTTCACCTCGTCACCGGTGACGTTGATGTTGCCTGCGATGCCGTACCTGAAGGGTGGAGGCGATCGTCGCCTGGTCAAGCGTGACTCATATCGGATCGTCACTGACCGTTACCTTCAGTTATAGATGCAACTGCTCAACCCGAACTATTCATACTTTGATACTTACATTGCTTTTGTACTGTTCGCTCTTTGGTGTTCTCTGGTCTAACACTGGTGAGACAAGGCCATGAAGAGGGCTGTCTGTGGTGCAGGCCAATCTGTTTCAAAGGCAATGCTTACATTATCAGAGCACGTTTGTTTTTGCATGTTTTGCCACAGGTATGTGTGGTTAATGCAAACTTGATGCCTTGCAATCGGTATCTATTTTGTGTTTGAACATTTTAACACCTCCTGTTAAAATTATTTCTTTACTTAATTTGGCTACAGTCCGTTCCTGAGAATTAAATATAGCAACTTGACTGCCGTGAGATGAACATTTCTGTACAGTGGGGTCCAGAGAAAACGTGTCCGGGCAAGACAATGACTTGACGGGGTCTTGGAAGTAGCTCTCCCTAACACGAGGTAATTTACTAAGTTTAGAGAGTTCCAAAGAATCACTTTGCCTCATTACATGATGCCAAAAGCACAGCAGGAAAAAAAGACGAAACAATATTTTTAAATATAACTTTTTTGCACGTTATTTGAAACATAGCTGGCCTCAAATAATTTCTGTTCATCACCACAGATCTCCCAGAGAAGTCGAAAGCTATTTTTTTTTGTTTCAACTCACGTGACCTATGTTTTCACAAAATCTCGAGGCACATGCCTTCCCAAAATGTTAGCGTTAATCCATCAACATGTGAGCATTGTTGTTATCTAATTGCAACCACAGACTCCGCGGGATTCTGAGGGCTTGATTTTGAGACTCCCTGATACAGCACAATATGAAGTTTACTTGTTTGATTTGCTCAATCAGAGCTTTGATATGGCTCGGTGCCTCGTTGGACTTGATCCGCATCAAAGTTGTGAGTTATCAATGCTGAGATCCCGCGTTCAAATCTTGACATCATCTACCTCCTGAGTCGGCGTACTCTCAGCCCGGTCATTAGGAAATGCACAAAAAAACATTCCTAAATTTGGTTTTACATTTTAAATAAATTCCTGCTATGATAATGAATAAACATGTTTTTATTGTCACACTAATAATATATTTTTTTCAAGGCATATAACAGATGTGTGGATGTCGAAAGGACAAAGTGTTTACGTGATTCCATCTTCCTGGACATTACAGCAATTGCTGATCACAAGGTGGTCCCCTCTGCTTACGGTGTGAGTTGCATATTATGATTTCTTCATCTCATTGCACGTGGTGGAAAAATGCACACGAAACTACACATACTATAACTTGGGATAAAAAAGGCAATAAACACGTTTATTTGGCTGTTATACTTGTCACAGCCGGGGGGGGACACGAGACACGCCTCTCGACCCCGGATATTTTGGGAGCATCGTGACCGGAATGTCTGGCTGGCACAGTAATAAGCAAACGCCTCCCGCGAGTTGTTTTGTGTCTCACCGTTCGTAGTCAGTGGCGTAGCTATCGTGCATTCAGGCGGTGCTGATTGCACGGGTGGCCCCCGGCTGGAGGGGACCATCGTCAATAATATGTACGTTGAACTTCTTTAGCACCGTACGTAGCCAACGGTGCTCGTCGGGGGCCCCAATTCATCCTTTGCACCAGGGCCCATGCCAACGACGTTTCGCCACTGCATCAAGTAGCTTCGCAGTGCCATCAGCAAATGCTGCGGCTAGTGGTTAAGCACGAGTCGCCTTTCTCTTAAACGCACGCAAACTGTCCCTTGTATTATTTACACAAGCTCACAATGAGCCGGTCAGTGTATTTATACACAAGCTCACAATGAGCCGGTCAGTGTATTTATTAGAGTTATCAAAACACGCTCGTATCTCCCTGCTAAATGAGCAGTGAGATGGCATTCATCTCAGTCCGTATTGTAATTGTATTCCAGTACTAATTATATTTGAGCAACTTGATATGCATTGCTGGCGCTATTTCTTCCCAAATCAAACGTTTTTTTTATTTAATTTTACCAGGTAAGGCCCACTGAGCTATATATAGCTCTCTTTCAGAAGCGACCTGACAACAAATGATAGCTCAACGAAGTGGCTTATCATGTGGACATTTATAGCGGCCAAGTACTCTGAACGCGTGATGTTGATTCTAAATGTGGAGGGAAACACCGGAGGACCCGGAGAAAAATCCACGCGACCACTAAGAGAGAGACACCGCAAACTCCGAATATGCAACAGGCGTCAGGGTCAGGATCGAACCCACGACTTCCTGTATACCACGCGAGGTAGCTAACATCTCCTAACCACCGTGATGATGAGACACCGCAAACTCCGAATATACAACAGGCGTCAGGGTCGGGATCGAACCCACGACCTCCTGTATACCAGGCGAGGTAGCTAACATCTCCTAGCCACCGTGATGATGATGAGAGAGACACCGCAAACTCCGAATTTGCAACAGGCGTCAGGGTCGGGATCAAACCCACGATCCTCCTGCATACCTGGTGAGGTAGGCGCATTTGGCAAAACATCAGGGACGTTCTTTGTTAAAGGTTAAGGAGATTCAATGACAGAAAGGAAAAAAGTTCAAGGTTGCTTATTTTAAAACAGGGATTCCCAAACTGTCATCCTCATGATCCTGCCCCTTTCCACGCTTACCAGTCTTTTCCCTTTCAATACAAATACAGTCGTACACACTGCACGCTCCTTATTATTGCAAATAAAGTTCCACCCGATGCAAAAAGGGCTGGTTCAAATTAAGGTAACTACACAGCACATTTTGTGGAGCAAACATACGTAAGTGCACACACACACACAAGAGCTCTATCTTAATCTTGATTTGAAGCTTTCGTGACTGCAGGAATCCATACTCTTTGGTTCTTTCGGTAAAGTCACGTAGGCAGAAACATAATAATAGATCACGACCTTTCGATCGCCACCTGAAGATGGGTGGATGAATATTTGAACGAATATTTGGTGTTTGAGAAAACAACTGTACATCTGTGAAAGAGTGCTACAAAACTCACCGGATTCCTCCGGTCAAAAATAAGGACTCTTGATTCTGAACTATTTTGCAGGCTCGGTGCAAGGTTGACCCTTCGGAGAGCAACATTTCCGCAGTCAGTGTGTAAGCATGAGCGCGGCGAGTAGGTGCGAACGACAGCGTGTCGCGGAACTCACAGGTGAGCGAGGCCGGCTTTGCGCACGGCCGAGGTGATGGCCTTGATGGAGGTGAGCAGAGCGGTGAGCAGCTGGTTGAGCTCGCCGGTCCCCTTCGCCTTGCGGCCCTCCTCCAGCACAAACCGGGTGAGCGTCTCCACATTGGTGTCGAACGCGCTCTGGTCCGACATCTTTAACGCGTCTATTTGCTACGTGCCGCGCAAAAAGAGCGTTGCAAGGTTTGGCTTCCTTCTTACGCGATGAAGAACGGCGAAGATGCCCAAGGGCCCTGTGCAGTGCGGCGGACCCACTTGGCGGACTGCTGCAGCAGCAGCAGCACTGCGCTGGTTTCGTGTGTCTAGCTAACTTTGGGTTCCCCCTGCCCCCTGCGACTTAAAGCCCGGGACACGTTCGGCGGTGTCGGATTTCTCTGCGACACTGGGCACAGCGCCAGACCTGCACCCGTCGTGATGTCACGTAGGGACATGCATCTCTTGGCAACCCGAGACGAGCCACACCTCGAGGGAGTTTTTTTGTCTCTTGCATGAGGTTAACCTTTCAGCTGAAGCAGCTATTGGATTTGGCAATGGTATCAATGCGTTAAGGTGTGTCAATGCGGAGGTGGCCTAGGTTGTTTTTAGGGGGACAATGTCGTGTCCAAGCACTGTATTGACACCGCAAAATCCTGGGTTCTAATCCAGTGTCTGCACCACGTGATTAAATAGGTTTTTCAAATACGGCATAAAGAGTTGGTCTCCGCCCAGTCATCAATGAACTCTGCCCCAAAAGCATGACCATTAAATTTGCTTTTACATGCAGTATATTCCAGCTCCGCAAATTAAAAAAAAATTTGCTCAACATGGCCACAAATACTCCCTGCATAGCATACAAAAGGTGTGTCCCCTCGTCTAGATAGAAAGGGCGACTGAAGTTTAATTCAGAAATCAATGTTGCATTTTCTTCTAGAGCCATCTTCAACACATGGCGGTGCACTGGTAGCAGGGAGAATTCAGAATTACAGTTTCAATATCGAGTAGCATGACCCCAATGGCACAATTGGAAAATAACTGTGCGGAAGAAAAGTACCACTGAATCACGACGGTTTTAAAACCATCCTACACCAACGACCCTTGAGCACCACGGAGAGGTCGAGTATTGCACGCATCAGCATATACGCGAATATTTAAGGGGTGCAGCAGCTAAATATAGCATGAGGAATTGCTGTGCCTACGTGTCTGGCAAGGTTGATAAAGGCCAACATTCCAGGCAGGCGCATTTAGCAAAACCATGGTCACGTGAAAGCCTATTTTGAGAAAAAAATATTTGGAGAGCTCACATTTTGTATTATATTATATATTAGTCCGTTTATTATAATCAAAACATCTTAGCGTCTCGCTGCTCAAACCTATTTTCTGTATACACTTATGACAACCATGGGAGAAGAGTGGTTGCACAGTGGTTAACGCACTGTGCTCAAACCAAGTGATCTCATTTTGATTCGTGGCCACCAACATCGGTGGAATTATATCTGAATATATATCTCAACCGATCCTGGGCATTCTTTTAAACACGCCACACTCACCAGCATGGTGATGTACGTGGGGGATGCTGTCACCCAGCAGTGGATTGATAAAAGACTGTTAATTATGTGTTTGCATTGAAAGACCACAGATGAATGACCATTGAGATATACATGTTACAATTGGTCTGTGAATAAAACCTGTGTTTTCAGGTTGTATATCAGAGAGCTGCACAGGAAAAACCGTGAAAACACATGTAACAGTAGGACATACATTACAGTAAAACCTTGGATTGCGAGTAACTTGGTCTGCGAGTGTTTTAAATATTAATTTGATAAACGAGCGGGGTCTTGCAATACGAGGAGTACGTATACTCTTTATCTGCTGAGCGTCACGTGATCACAACTGATATACACGAGTGCTTTGACATACGAGTGCTTTGGATTACAAACACGTTTCCGGAACGAATTATGCTCGCAATCCAAGGTTTTACTGTATTTGTAATTTAAACAACTAATAATGTATAGGTTTTGGAATCAAGCTGAAAGTTGAACACAGGAAAAATGAAGCAACCACTTTTGTTCGTGTTTTTTTTATTTGAAACAATATTCTTCATGATTAAATTTGCTAATATTTTAATGCACAGTGGCAGATTCGCAAAAATGTGACCGGTGACGTGCAAAGCTAAAGTGACCATCAAAGTGATTTGTTTGATAGCAGCTATTACAACACGCTCGTCAAAAAGCAAATGAAAGGCACACATCCAACAGTTGATCTTTTTTATATCTAATGAGAATCAATAGTTCTTATACTTTACTGCTTCTTACAAAATAATTGTAATAAACTGTGCATTCATGCCGAGCGATTGACACAAAAGCAGCCGTGGCGTTAAGTCCTTTCTCTCACCGCTCCCCCGTTAGGTCCTCCGCAATCACAGCTGTCGAGAGGAGACATTTAAAAGCCAGCAGGGTTTGGCGGAGCACGTAAAGTTCATAGCGTGAAACGGATTAAAAATACCATTCTGTAAAACATTGATTGCCGACAGAAACGACTGCGGGTGCACCAGTGCAGCGAGTATCAAAAGCAAGCGTGTTAATACCTTCACGTGTGAACCAGCCAGAAACTCTAAAAACTTCCCGGTCACAAATGCTCCTGCAGGAAGTGGAGGAGAGTGGCTTCGTAATGCTCGGCAGACTCGGCTGAACGGATGCTATGCCTCTCGTTGGGGTAGATCTGAAAACAAGGCCAATTCCAAAGGTAAGATCCAATCGCGCATGCAAAGACGAAACAATATCGACGCATTACTTTTATTTATATTACTAAAGATGCAGCCCTTGCAACTGCTTGCTCGACACAAAATTTCAACTTAGTTGATTTAGAAAAAAAAGAGTTTCAATGAATAGTCAAATGCATCAATACGGAATTCGAGTACACGTCAATGTGAATTCAATCACATATGTTTGAATATAATGTCAATGTATTGACATCACGTGGGCACTATTACTGAGAAGCCAGACACAATTTAAAAGGTTTTTTTAATCATTCACGAAACCTCACTCTTGCTGGACAACATGGGTGAGATTCTACGATGCATAACCCGAGTATCTGCAACACCCAGCCCGGGTGAGTATTTGTGACACACAGCCCAGTTGAGTATATAAGATACACAGCCCGGGTGAGTATCTATGATACACAGTCCGGGTGAGTATCTATGACACACAGCCCAGGTGAGTATCTGTGACACACAGCCCAGGTGAGTATCTATGATACACAGCCCGGGTGAGTATCTGTGACACACAGCCTAGGTGAGTATCTGTGAAACACAGCCCGGGTGAGTATCTGTGAAACACAGCCTGGGTGAGTATCTATGATACACAGCCCGGGTGAGTATCTGTGACACACAGCCCAGGTGAGTATCTATGATACACAGCCCGGGTGAGTATCTGTGACACACAGCCCGGGTGAGTATCTACGACACACAGCCCGGGTGAGTATCTGTGACACACAGCCCGGGTGAGTATCTGTGAAACACAGCCTGGGTGAGTATCTATGATACACAGCCCGGGTGAGTATCTGTGACACACAGCCCAGGTGAGTATCTGTGAAACACAGCCTGGGTGAGTATCTATGATACACAGCCCTGGTGAGTATCAACAAGAGCTGTTTGTTTTTTGAGTTGCGTCTTTCTTTTAACGGCAGCACTGGCAGTGAATGGAGAAAGGGAAGTACCTGCAGCTGATAGGGCTTGCCCATGCGCACCAGCTGAGACACCAGCATGCTGGTGTGGAAGAAGTGAACGTTTTCATCCAAGAAACCATGCAGGATAAGCAGCCGGTTTGGCCTGGGAAAGTCAATCACAATCGCAATATCAGATTTGTTTAAACATTATAACACAACTGTACACGATAAGCAAAAGTATATAGGTGTTTAGATGTTCAAACCACCAAATAGATACCTTTTGAAAGGGATCAAGTCTGCATTAACCACAATGACTTGTGGTGAATATGCAGACAAAACATGCTCTGATACTATTGTCAGACCAGAGGACGCCAAAAGGCATTCACCGTAAAGAAGGCTGTCTCTCGTGTAGGCCAATCAGTTTCAAAGACAATGCATGTCGTATCAGAGCCTGTTTTTCTTGCATGTTCACCACAAGTAATTGTGGTTAATGCAATCCTGATCCCTTGCAAAAGGTTTCTATTTGGTGTTTGAACATCTTAACACCTTCTTTGGTTATTTCGGTAGTCACGTAGAATGAGAATCAAATAATAAAATAACACAATAAAATTCTCACGAGGTTTCGGCCACAACGCAAGTGGCCGTTGTGGCCTAAACGTCGTGAGAATTTTATTGTGTTATTTTATTATTTTATTCTCATTCTACGTGACTTTACCGAAAGAACCAAAGAAGATGAATCCTTGCAGTCACGAACGCTTTAAATCGAAATCTTAACACCTGTAGTATTGAGAGAGAGGGTAAAAGGGTAAAACCTATTCTTATTTTTCATTCTTTGGTCCTGGCAAAAAAAAGGTCCCATGATAAAAGTATATAGTGCAGTTGGTTAAATACGTATGATGCATGAGAGAACTCTCGACAATTGTAAGTAAATAATGTAATGTTCATTGATAACGTAGGGGAGTATTTACACAAGACCACAATGTTTCACCACTAAAGCCACAGCATGACACACGCTGGCAATGTAGAAACTGCTCAAGTTTATGCCTACGTCGAAGCCTGTGGTTTTAGCGAAGTGTCATCTGAGCACTTGGCATTTTATAGCTCATGCCCCCTTCCTCCCACGGCTCAACGAATTGTTATTTGGATTCGAAATATATATTTTTCTCGTCCCATTTGTGCTGCCTCATTGGTAATGTAACCAATTTTTTTCCTACCGTAACACCTGTCTCATCTGTACTATCCTGTTTGTCCCTGTTGTTTTTCCGTCTCGTCTATGTTCCATCTCTTGTTGTTAAGTCCCTTCTGTATTGTCTGTCTTATTTTTTGTCTGATCTATTCCAAGCAATTGCTTAAGTAAGATGCGATCATAAAACGTGCAGAAATTGCAAATAATCGAGTTTTACACAAACAATTTAACGCACGTATCATTAGCCGGAAAATCTACTTTCACGGACAAATAATTCAGCAGCAAACGATCGCGCTGAAAGCAACAAAAGCGTGGAAATACAATGTTTACAAAAAACTATTTGGAGTGCGGCATCTAAATGCGACTGCAATCTAACAACGCACTCCCTGGGCAGCTTGTCCACGTGGTAGGCCACGGAGCTGCTCTCATAGCCGGACATGTTTTCGTCGGGGGTGCCGAGGTAGCGCTCCGTGTAGGCTGTGTCGTACGCCATCCACACGGTCACCGGCGCGCCCGCTATCGCCACCTGCAGGGTGTTCACAAAGAGGAAGATGAAACCCATAAAAAAACACAACGGTGTTGAGAGAAAAAAGTTTACCATCTAACAATGCATCACTGTT